TATATATATATATATATATATATAGTGATTGGAAAATACGGTGAATAAAAATTTTAAAACTACAGTGAAAGACACACTGCCAAATATGATGTGATAAGTGAGCTGGAAATAAGGGGAAATATTTTAAATACATATTTTGAAGTTGATTAATAGCAATTTTGTCTTTTACTCTCATCAATTTTAGTTCAACCTTCAAAGTATTTTTGGGCACATCTCATTGATCAAATGTTTATGGTAATTTTTTTCATTAAGTTTATTGGTACTTTTTGGGTATACAGTACATTCATCATTCGGATCTTGTACCTTTAAATGAGGTATCTTGGTTCTTACTTTTTCCCATACCTATGCCCTTCCTTTACCCTTCAACCCTTCCCTATTTACAAAGATTTTGCTTCCATTTTTTCCTTTTCTCCTATTTTTTCTTTCTCCTTTCCTTTCCCCTACCCTTCTCAATTCCCCTACTCCTGTAGCTTTTTTTCCTCCTCTTTCACATTATCAAGTTATACAACTTGGACCTTATTTACACTTAGTTTTCCACATCAGAGAAACTATTCGGTATTTACATGTGTCCAATTATTTCTTTCCAAATTTTTTATCTATTTATTTATTTGGTACGGGGGATCGAACTGGGGATCTTGCGCTTATGAGGCAGTCAGCAGAACCACTGAGCTAAATCCCCAGCTGTCCTATTCTTTATGGCAATTTTTATCAAATGAAAATATTGTGTGTCCTTATCCACCTTATTCACTATGCAACTTCTGACTCTTCCTCCAAATCAAAATGACACCATTTGTGTAATGAATGTCAATTGCTTCCGGAAATTCAGTGACGTTCATTATTCTAAACGTTTTATTAATTTCTCACCTTGGAGCTACAGATCAAAAATCATAATAGATTATAAGAATGATGACTGATTTTCATCTAATATAATTCTATTCTTGATCAAGACCATTAAGAAAGTCAAGTCCTGAAAGTACTGATTATATCAAGTCAAGGGTCTCCGTATGTAAAAGCAACACTTTCCTTTTTTTCTTTTCAATCTATTTATTGGCATATACAAAAAATTTAAATTAAGACATTCAAATATTTTAAAATGAATTATTCACTCCAAGGCATGGGAACCCCCCTCCCACCACCACACTCACAAGCAGCTACTAGGTAAGCAACTTTAGGGCGGCTGCCGAGTAGAATATCAAGAAATTGGATCCAGCTAAGAATTCTAATTACCTAATGAGGGTGATCCGCTTTCACTCTAATTTCTTGGTCAAATTCATTATAATAATACCCATCATAAAAATCTTGCTTTCAAATCCGTTTAAAATGCAAACAAATATTCAACTGGTCAATTTCTCTCATCTTATTTTTTTGAAGGAGATGAGAATTTCAATGTACACTAGAAATGTAAAGACTTAAGATGGAGCAGTAACAGAGCTTCAAAAGGATCTCGGATCGCTTTGTGTTAGTGTACTGCAACACAGAGGAACAAACGTATCGCGGCAAATTTCAAACAAATGCAATGTTTTTATTGGTTTATTGAGAGAAAATCATTAAACCCAAACACGGCAAAACTCCTCCACTGCCCCTGGCCAGCGATTATTCATCCAGACTTATCATTACAGTACCAATGATTTCCCAGCCAGGCCGTGACTGGGTGTGAATCAGCCCACGACAGGCCGCTCTCCCTCTCGCTGCAGCAGTTGGGGCTTGGCTAGCCGCTGGGGTTTG